AAAAAAAAAAAAAAAAAGTCTCCCACTGATTCCTTCTACGAACCCGCCCCCCTTGCAAACCCAGCGACACAGCTAAGTGCAGATTGCAGAGGACAGACAAAATGTCAGAAATTTCCCCAAGAAACCAAAGGAGGGGGTTTTGTGGGTTTTTCGTTTTTCCTTTCTCCCTTGCCCGGAAGCACAGGGTCATTAAAACTCCAGCAAAATGCCCCACCCACTGCACCAGCATGGGTACTCCGGAGGGTCTCCACACTCCTCACTGGCACCTTGGAGAGAGGAAGTGGGGGAAGGGAGCCCCCTTTCCTAAGCCACAGCTTCTCAGGGAAGAGGTCTCTGACCTAATACCAGGACTGTCACTCCCCCTCCACTTCCACTTCTCATCAAGGTCCCTCTGGGCTGGGATCAAAGGAGCCAGAGGAGGGTGGGAAGGAAATGTCTATTTCCCAAGGCAGGGACTGTGGGTCCCACGGAAAGCCACAGAACACCATAGGCAAACCATTCCAGAGGAGGAAGGCTATAAAACCTTGACTGAGCATTTCTTAGCCACAGCCAGCTACCCAGAGGGAGCGAGTAGTTGGACCTGTGGGCTTGGACCATAGTCGCAGGGGACATCATGCTCAAGTGGCATAACATACTACCCAAAACATTGTTCCACATCCTACTTTGGTGAGTAATGACTCGGATTTTAAAAACTTGCAAGCGGCCATCTAGATGCAACGATGGGTCTCTCCTCATCCAGAGCAAAGAAGGATGAAGAAAAACAAAGACACATGGAAACAATTAGTCCAAGCAACTGGTGCACCATGCAATCCTCAGCCTATATGACTATGAGACCAGAAGAATAAGATGGTGCCCGGCTACCGCTGTCAACCACTTGGAGGGGGATCTCTGTAGGAGATCCTGGATAGAGTGAGAGAACCATATTGAACAAAACTCAAAATCATGGGGAAAAAAAGGACCAGGTTTGCTGGTCTGATAGAGCCTGTGGGAACCACTGAGACTATGGCCCCTAGCAGCCCTTCAGTTCTGGAATTAAACCCACTCCTGTGGTTTCCAGCCATAAAAAAGACAGGCATATGAGTTGAACATTTACATTAGGTAGATACACTCCTTGCAGAGATCAATCATAGGGGAATAGAAGGGCTGCATATGCACAGGGAGACAGCTCAGGGGGCAGGAGTGCATGGAGGGAAGGACACAGGGAAAAGGTAACTATGGGGAGGAAGTGAGAGGGGAGCTGTTGCATTGGGGTAAATTGTAGTCAATGTCATGAGACAACGTGTATGTGAACTGCTGTATGGAAAGTGAATTTGCTCTGTAAACTTTCACCCAAATCACAATAAAAATTAAAAAATATATATATATATCATCCCTGACTGAGGCTGCTCCGGGAGAAGCAGTATGGGAGCCGTTCAGCACTGGGCTCGTGAAGGAGGTGGCACAGGGAAGGCCGCCATGATCCCAGCAGGTAGAAGTGAGTGGGACTTCAGAGGTGGAGGGACAGGCATGCACAAAGGCCCAGAGACTCGGAAGTTCAGAAGACACCAAGCACAGCAGTTCCCACAGAAAGGCCAAGAAAGATAAGACTGGAAGAATAAAAAAGGACCTCAGTATAAGAACTAGCAAAGAACACTTGTTGGATTGATGATGGATGGGAGGGTAGATGGATGGATGAACAGATGAATGGGTGGAAGATGGATGGGAGATGGATGGAATGGGAGAGGAGATGGGAGGGAGTGGGAGTGGGGATGACTGATGGCTGGATAGATGCATGGGAGAAAGAATGAGAGCAGGGGTGGGAGAGAGAATTGGAGAGGGGTGAATAGATGGATAAGGGATGGATGAAAGAATAGGAAGGGGAATGGGAAGAGGCTGGGAGGGAGATGAGAGGAAGGATGGGTAACCGAGTGAGTGAGTGAGTCAAAAGGTAGGAGGGTAGATGGGTAAGTGAAAATGTCAAACTCTTTCCCTAAATGTTTCTTCCTGTTCCCGGCGGCTTGAACATGGGCTTGGTCTGCATGGTAGAATAACAAGACCATAGCTCTAGAAACAGGCTGACCAGTTCCCATCTAGCTCCAGCCACACACCTGCCATGTGACCTGGAGCAGGCATCCGGGCATCACCTCCAGACAGCATGGCTGGGGGACTAGATGAGCTGATGTCTGGCTCTGCACAGGACACCCTCTTGATGACTCTTACCCACTCCCAGTGACCTGCCCTCCTCCAAGTACTGTGGCTGTTATGATGAACCATTGTGTACAGTGACTTCCTTACGTCCTCTCCTGTGACCATATCTGTTCCTGGAGGTCAGGGACCACAGTTTTTCTTTATCTCATGTCCCTCACAGCTAAGGCCACTGGATGTGCCTTGGGACTTTCAATAATAACCAAACACAATGGGAATGCCTCAGGACCCTGTTCTACTTGCCTTCTCAGCCCTGAGCATTCTCTGCAAATGGGAAGAGCAATTTTCATCCCTGTTCCATAAGTGTTTCCTAATAATCTACTAGGAACACATCACTGTGCTGGAGGTGGGTGAATGTTCTCAGCAAGCACATGTTCTGGGCTGGAGCAGTAAGGATTGCAAAGGACTTGCAGAACTGCAGGGCAGCAGGGGTATGTCGACAGAGCAAGCTCTGGGGTCACAGAACCCTGTGCTTCAATCCCAGTCAGACCACCATTTCCCAGCTTTGTGACTTTGGGCAAGCTACTTAATCTTGCTGAGCCCCATGTCCTCATCTGCAAAGAGGCAATAATAAAGGAGAAAGTGTAAGAAGTCCTGGTGGTGCAATAGTTAAGTGCTCAGCTCCTAACCAAAAGGTGGGAGGTTGGAACCCACCAGCCACTCTGCGGAGAAAACACCTGACAATCTGCTCCCATAAAGATGTCAACCTGGGAAATCCTTTGGGGCAGTTCTACTCTGTCCTATAGGATCACTCATTCACTCACTCACTGCCATTGAGTCAATTCTGACTCACAGCAACCCCCATTGAGTTTCCAAGGCTATAAATCTTTACGGAAGCAGACTGCCCCATCTTTCTTCCAGTGGGTTCAAACCGCTGACCATTTGGTTAGCAGCCAAATGCCTTAACCACTGCACCACCAAAGCTCCTTATAGAATCACTAGAAGTCAGAATTGACTTGACAGCACACAACGAAATGATGCATGCACAGGTCTCAGATGAGTGTATTTTAAGCGTTCAATAAGAGATAGCCATAAAGTAAAAGCAAATATGCAGAGCTGTTCTTTCTTCCTTGTGTCAGCAACAAACCCATTCTCTTGATCCCTCCAGCCCGACTCTTCCAAGAGAGTTTCTGGACTCTGACATTGGGCAAGAACTTCAGAAATTTTTAACCAACCATGTCAATGATGACATTGGCTCCCATCTTCCCTGCTCTCCAGTCCCCCAGAGGGTTGTGACTTGAGGACAAAACTCACCCCTTGTCCCCACCCCTAGTATCCGCACTCACCTGAAGGGCAGCGGTAACAGCACTTCCCGGCATCCTTGTTGTAATAGCGGCTAGGGTCTCCAGCACAGGTGTCACTGGAAGCTCGATCCTAGAAAGTCAGACAAACCAAGAGCTGGTGAGGCCAAGACGGCCCACACATCCATTCTCCCTATCGCCTCCAGCCCCAGGAACCTGGTCTGCACTGGATGCCAAAGGCAGGCCTGAGCTGAACCTCATGTTATAGAAGGGAAGTCAGGATGGAATCTCTTCAGTTCCCATCTCCCTCAAATCTATTCCTCCTTCCATCTTCCCCATTGGAGTTCATGGCAACTCCAGCCTTCTGGTCAAAAATTTTGGTGTCTTCCTTGACTCTCTCATACACTCATATAACCCATCAGCAATTCCTCTTGCCCTCATCAGATCATTCTCCTCAACCCCCTGCCACCCTGGTCCCAGCCACCATCTGATCTTGCTTGGATTAATCCAGTTGCCTTGTACCTGGTCTCCAGGGTGGGCCCAGCATGTCTGGTAAACTTGTTTGTTGAAGTCTAACACTCATATAGGAAATCGCACAGACTCAAGTGTATAGTCCCTTGAATTTTTACAGCATGAGCACACAATGAAACTAGCACCCAGATCAAGAAACAGAGCAGCACCAACCCTGGCAGCCTTCATCATGTCCCTCCCCACTCACTACCTCCAAAAGGTACTCACTAACCTGAAACAATAAATTTGTTTGCATGTTTTACCTTTACATAGTAGAATCATACAATCCATTTTCTTGCAACTGGCTTCTTTAATTCAGCGTTTTTATTGTGGAATTATCCACATTGCTGTGAATAACAGTTCATCTACTGCATGAATACACACAGTTTGTCTTTTTTACTTTTGATAGACATTTGAATTGTTTCCCATTTTTAATTATTGTGAATAATGCTGCTGGGAGCATTCCTAGCCATATATTTTGGTGCACAGAATATACACCTTTCTGTTGCAAAAATACCTATAAGTGGAATTGCTGGGTCATAAGGTATGTGTATGCTCACCTTTGATAGATTCTCCAGTTTTTCAAAGTGATTGTAGCAATTGACACAGCACTACAGTATATGAGAGTTACAGTTGCTCCACATTGTTGTCAACACTTGGTATTGTCAGTTTTTTAAATTTTAGCCATTTTGGTGGATATGTAGTGGTATCTTATTGTGTTCTTTATTTGTATTTCTCTAATGAATAATGATGTTGGGCACTTTTTATATGTTTACTAGTGATTTGGATATTTTCTTATAGAAGATGCCTATTTGGGTCTTTTTGTCGTTCTTTCTTTTTTTTTTTTTTTAAGTTGGGTTGTCTGACTTTTCTTACTGATTTGTGGAAATTCTTTGTAAATTTTGGATGTAAGTCCTTTATGTTGTTGTTGTTGTTGTTATGTGCCATCGAGTCGGCCCCGACTCATAGCGACCCCTCCTTGGGTTTCCGAGGCAGTATCACTACGGAAGTAGGATTGCCCAACCTTCCTTCCGAGGAGTGGCTGGTGGGTTTGAACTGCCAGCCTTCTGGCTAGCAGGCAAGTGCTTTAGCCACTATGCTACCAGAGCAAGTCCTTTATTGGATCTATATATCTTCTCCCATTCCGTGGCTTATCTTTTCACTTTCTTAATGGAGTCTTGTGTTCAGCAAAAATTCTTAATTTTAATGAATTCCAATTTATCAATCATTTCTCTTTGAGTTTAATAAAGGCCCTTTTTGTCATCCTGTTTAAGAAATATTTTCCCACCTCCAAGTTATGATAACTTCTTAGCCACAACCAAACACCTTGACAGAGTGAGTTGCTGGGCCCAGGGGCTCAGAACCACAGTCATGGGGAATATCAGGCTCAATTGGCATACAAGTCCACAAGAACATTGTTCTATGTCCTATTGTGGTGAGTAGTGACTGGGGTCTTAAAAGCTTTTGAGCAGCCATCTAAGATGCAACTATTGGTCTCTCCTCATCCAGAGTGAAAAAGAGTGAAGAAAATCAAAAACACATGGAAACAATTAGTCCAAGAGACTAGTGACCCATGAGAACCTCAGCCTACATGATCCTGAGACCAGAAGAACTAAGTGGTGCCTGGCTACCACTGCGACACTTGGAAAGGTATCAAAACTGGAGATCCTGGATGGACTAAGAGAAAAATGTGGAACCAACTCAAAATCACAAAAAAAGACCAAGCTTACTGGTCTGATAGAGGCTGGTGAAACCCCCAAGACTATGGCCTCTAGTCACCTTTTGGGCCTGGAATTGAACTCATTCCCATGGTTTAACCTTCAGCCAAGCTGAAGTAGACAAGGCCTACAACATGAACAATTAACACCAGGTAGGTGCACTCCTTAGAACAACCAACCATAGGAGATCAGAAGGCAGAATTTCCACAGGGAGAAAACTCAGAAGGCAGGAATGCATAGAAAAGAAGGACACAGGGAAATGTAAACCACAGGAAGGAAGTGGAAAAAGAACTCTTACATTGTGGGGATTGCAATCAATGTCATGAAACAAAATGTGTATGAACTGCTCAATGAAAACAAATTTGCTCTGTAAATTTTCACCCCAGTCACAATAAAAAGTTTAAAACAAAAATAAACATTTGCCCACCTGATGTCATTGAGATATTCTCCTGTATTATCTTCTAAAAAGACTAAAACCAAACACACCGCCATTGAGTTGGATCCGACTCATAGTGACCCCTCCTTGGGTTTCTGAGGCAGTATCACTACAGAAGTAGATTGCCCAACTTTCCTTCTGAGGAGTGGCTGGTGGGTTTGAACTTCCAGCCTTCTGGGTAGCAGTCAAATGCCTTAGGCATTACACCACCAGAGTTCCTTATTATTATCTTCTAGACAACTTATTATTTAACCTTTTACACTAAGGTTGGCAACCCATCTGGATTTCATTTTTTTTGCATGGTGTGAGGTAGGGGTCAAGGCTCACTTTTTTCAGGAATATAAATTTTTAACAGGCTCCTCCATGGCTTCTGGGGCTTTTTAAAGGTTAAGCCTCACTCACTGGTAGAGGAGGTTCAAGAAAATAAAAAGTTCTGCTGAAATCCTGGGGAAATAATTCTGCCTGTCCTGGTGGGGCAGACAGTGATGCACCAAAGCAAATTTCCAGGGACACTCACGATGGTGCAGTCCTGGAAGGGAGGGAGGAAAGGAGGAATGGTGTCCCATCTCCATGTCCTCAGCATCCAGATGAGGCCTGGCAGAGAAGGTGGCTACTGTGGGATGAATGGGGATGCAAATTTCTTGGTTTGAGAGAAGAATGCAGAAGAGCTGGAGCCATGAACCCCCCTCTTCTCTCCCTTGAAGGGAAGAGTGAAAACTAATAAACCAATATTTCTGGTATGTTCAGAGAACAGAGGAGGCTAGTGAGCCTGGAGGGGGATATATGGAGTATTGATTACATTATTCTGTTTTTTTGCCATGTCTAAAACATACCACCATATTAATTTGAAATATAATCTGACATTTGCATGACACTAGTCACATGGCATTTGTGTGTCTCCTTTCTCATTTAATCCAGAGCCCAGGGCCCTGAGGAGGGCCTCTTTCCCAAGCCCATGTCCAGACTCCTCCCTCCAGCACGATCTCATCCCTCTCAGGCTCTTAGGAGCCTCTCCAGGGATCAGGGAGCTTCCTGGACAACCCAAGCTTCTCCTTGAACCCCAGAATCTTGTCAAGTGAGCGTTAGAAGCCTAAGATGGGATTGGGTAGGGTTGCCAGGGTTTGGCCCTGCTCGGGAGGCTGAGTATAGGGGAAATTCTGGTCATTGGACTGGGAGTCCATGCCTTGTTTGCCTGTTCATCTCAAGGACAGCCTGAGGAGTCTGAGAGGCCCTGGCCTCAGGCCCCAGCTCACTCTGCCAGGGTCTGTGGGGTAGCTGAGGGGGACCCTGGCTGCTCTCCCCTTAATCTCCTGGCTCTAACACCCTTGGTCAGTGGAGGGATGGGGTGTAGGGGTGTGGAGAATAGGGAACCCACAGTATTGTGCACTCACTGTCCTGATCGGGCCTTGGGGGCCTGCTTTCATACATCTCCTCCTTTATTACACCCTAGACCATGTTAGATGAGGAAACGGCAGCCCAAAGAGGTAGTCATCAGCCCAAGGTCACACAGCAACTCAGTGTAGAGAGAAGAATCAAGCTTCACTGTGTTCCCAATTCTCTCCCCTTCTCTGGGCCCCAAGTTACCCATCTTTAAAATTAAAAGATCCAATACACTGAGCAGGCCATGATGTCATTACTGTAGTCTTCTTACCAAAAGTCCACAATCTGAACCTAATCATGAAGAAACATAAAACAAACCCAAACTGAGGGACTTTCTAGGTAACAACTGGTTTGGAATTTTTTTTAATTGAGTTATCTGATTTTCTTATTGATTTGTGGAAGTTCTTTATATATTTTAGATACAAGTCCAGAAGCCTACAGATGAAGACTCTCTGGACCCTCCAAAATTTTCAATGCATGAAAGACAAAAAGCTGAGGAACATTCTAGATTAAAGGAGACTAAAGAGACATAACCAATGTCTGGATTGGATCCTGAATGGCAAGAAAAGGAAGGTTTGCTACCAACGACAATACTGGGATAACTGGTGAATTTTGAACATGGTCTTTACACTTGATGATATTCTATCAGTGTTAAATGTCCTCAATTTGACCATTTGTTTAAGAGGTGTCCTTGTTGTAGAAGAAACATGGTGCAGTATTTAGGGATGGAAGGTCACAGTGTCTGTAAATAATCAGTAAATGGTTCTGTAAGATAAAATAGTAATACAGTAAAACCTGTGAAAGCTGGAACCTATGGAAGGCAGAAACCTGTCAGAGAAAGAAAATGCAAATAGTTTCTACTGATAAGGGTGATAGAAAAGTGATGAGACTACAACTTGTCAAAGGCAGAAAACCTACAAGACCTGAAAAAACAAAGGAGTCCCATTGAGCTCCGGCTCCAACAGGTTTCACTATAATCAAACATATGTGTACATAAAGAGAAAGTGAAATAAAGCAAGTGTACAAAAACCACACACATGACTAACAGTGTCTAAAGGACACTGAGTG